ACTGAACTAGATCAGAACTAGAACTGAACTAGATCAGAACTAGAACTGAACTAGAACTGAATTAGAATTGAACTAGAACTGAACTAGAACTGAACTAGAACTGAACTAGAACTGAACTAGAACTGAACTAGAACTAACTAGAACTGAACTAGAACTGAAAAAGAACTGAACTAGAACTAGAACTGAAAAAGAACTGAACTAGAACTGAACTAGAACTGAACTAGAACTGAACTTGAACTGAACTAGAACTGAACTAGAACTGAACTAGAACTGAACTAGAACTGAACTAGAACCGAACTAGAACTGAACTAGAACTGAACTAGAACTGAACTAGAACTGAACTAGAACCGAACTAGAACTGAACTAGAACTGAAAAAGAACTGAACTAGAACTGAACTAGAACTAAACAAGAACTGAACTAGAAATGAACTAGAAAAGAACTAGAACTGGATTAGAACTGAACTAGAACCGAACTAGAAATGAACTAGAACCGAACTTTAACTGAACTAGATCAAAACTAGAACTGAAATGAACTTGAACTGATCTGGAACTGAACAAAAGATCTACTAGAACTAGAACTGAACTAGAACTGAACTAGGACTGAACTAGAACTGAACTAGAAGAGAATTAGAACTAAAACGAAACTGAAATATAACTGAACAAGAGCTAAACTAGAATAGAACTGAACGGGTAAAGAACTATCACTGAACTAGAACTAAAAAGAACTGAACTAGAATAGAACTGAAGGAGTAAAGAACTAGAACTGAACTAGAAGAGAATTAGGACTAATATTAAAACTAAATTAGAACTGAACTAGAATTTTCACAAATTAAATTACAATTGGAAACATCTGAAATATAATTGAAGCCTTACCGACTCAGCTTCAGCCTCAGCTTCCATAACAATGCGCATTTTATTAGCTTCGGCCAATTTTTCCAAACGATATTTCTCAGCCTCAGCTGGTTGTCTTATGGTAGCTTCCAATTCCTTTTCACGTCTTTGGATTTCCTGCTGTTGTACCGATATCTCTTGAGTACGTTCGATTACTTTCACTTGCATTTGTTCCTCCTTAATGCGTTGTTTAGTCTTGGCAGCCTGCAATTCGTAGGCCATTTCAGCTTCTGCTTTTTTCGTTTGTACCTCAACATCGTAAGCGGCTTTTTTAATTTCAAAATCACGTTGTGCTTTGGCAATTTCGGTGTCATTAAGGAAACGTGAGGCCATGCGTTGTTCTTCGGCAATGGCCTCCTTGATAGTGGCTTCACAGCGGGCCTCTGCCTCACCGATGCGAGCATCACGTTTGACCTCAGCAGTACGAGCCATACCCAAAGATTTCAGATAGCCCTTTAAAAATTTAAAAAAGAACACATATTTTAGTTTTTTTTTGTAATATTTAAAACAAAGTTTAACTAAAACAAAAAATACCAAAACCATTCCTAAATATATACATAAAACAACCAATAACGATATTACGGGACAACAAAATATAGGTGTGTTATTATTTTATTATTCATACCTTAGCTTCTCCCTGTTCATATAAAAACATAATTAAAAAAAAGTAAACGAAAACGAAAGAAAATCAATACAAAAGAAAATATTTTTCCTAAATTATCTTTAATCCTTACACTCACCTCCTCGTCACGTATATCTTTAATGGTATAGGATACCACTGTTATACCCATATTTGCCAAATCCGATGAGGCAACCTCAAACACTTGTTTGCTAAACTTCTTACGATCCTTATAGATTTCCTCAACCGTCATTGAACCCATAATGGCTCTCTGATGACCCTCCAATGTTACGAGCGCAATATGACGTATTTCCGATTCGGGTTTACCCAAAAATTGTTCACATGCTGTCAACAGCATATCTTCATTTTGTCCCTGGATCTTTACCTGGGCAATACCCGTAACCGATATTGGTACACCTTGGCTGGTATACACACAAGGACTTTCAACTTGTAAAGTCATGGTATTCAAAGAGATTCTATTTTTGAGAGATTATATAGAATTAGTGGAAACAGTTGCTTTATGTATTTGGGCAAAATTACCTTTGAACTTGTTGTATGGTGGGCCAAACAAAAGCGCGACCGCCGGGTACCAATAAAGGTTTCATATAGCAACATCCTGAAAGAAATAGCAATAAGAATATAAAATTTGGCAACAGAGTTGTTTTTTTTTACTTTTCCTTCGAAGTTATTCAGATTATAGATTAGGTTATAGTTTAGACTTTAAATCAGACTATTGTCCAGACCTTAGACTAGAATACAGACCAGACTATTGACTTGGCTATAGCTCCTACTAGAATATATTCGAAACTATAGTCCCGACAATAGTCTTGACTATAGTCTAGACTAACTATAGACTGGACTAAAGTCTTGACTATAGACTAGGCTAACTATAGACTAGACTAAAGTCTTGACTATAGACTAGGCTAACTATAGACTAGACTAAAGTCTTGACTTTAGACTAGACTATATTCTTGACTATAGTCCCGACTATAGACTAGACTATGGTCTTCATTACTGACTATAATATAGTCCCAACTATAGACTAGACTATATATAGTCTTGGCTATAAGCTAGACTATAGTCCTGGCTATAGACTATACTTTAGTCTTGACTATAGATTATACTATAGTCCCGACTATAGACTAGACTATATATAGTTGAAACTATAGAATAGACTTTAGTTCAGATTATAGTCGAGACTATAGTCCAGGTTGTAGACTATACTATAGTCCAGATTATAGACTAAACTATAGTCCAGATTATAGACTAAACTATAGCCCAGACCATACACTAAACTATAATTCAGACTTTAGAATAGGCTATAGAATAGAATAGAATATAGTCCAGACTATAGATTAGAGTATAATCCAGATTATAGACTAGCCAATAGTCAACACTATAGAATAACCTATAGTCCAAAGTATAGTCGGGAAATAATGTATTACTTTTTGGGCATTCAAGTTGGAATTTATCTATTAATGGTGCTCACAAATTAATCTTTTGCAAAACCATTCCAATTTGATATGTACATGCCTATATGTATATAAAATTTTTTATTAAAAAACTCATTTCATATTTTAGTGTTATTTTAATATTTTGCAACAAAAGTCTTATTGGAGTTAGAGTAAAAGCAGTAAAACCTCGACCGCATTTTTTTTTAATCGAATGGATTGCGGTTTTAAATTGGAATCTTTGTATTGCTATATGCGAAACTTTAATCATAATATTATCAAAATAATATTTACCTCATTTATTTTTAGACTAACGTTACGAGAAACTATTTTTCCACTAGTTATTTCTACAATTTAACAAATTATTAAAAATTTAGAAATCTATGTACCTATATCGATTCAAACATATTCAAAACTTTATTCGATAACTCTTTCCCAAGTTATTTTTATAAAATTTTGTTTATTTCTGTAACGCTATGATTATATATTTATGAAATTATATTGGCATCAATACCGGTTTTCAATTCTAAACAATAAAGCAATGCAATAATAACGGTATCGGTATATTTCAAAACCCAACGACCTTGAAATATAAAATTTTAAAAATAACGTTGTTAATAGCTAAATTTTAACAAAACAAAGAAGTAACATCCCTAACATCATTGTATCATCTCTAATTTAAAATTGTCTGCATTAAATAAAAATCGATAAGTAATTAAAGTGACGTCATTAAGTTGATATCATAACGAAAAAAAAATTAAGAAAAATTTTATAGACAAACTGCAGCAGCAAAATAGCACAAAATTTTGCTATTTATAGTGAAAAATAATAATAATTCATTTACCTGATACTACTAATGCCTCATTGGGACCACAAGTTACAAAACCCCAAGCCATTTTCACTCCACAAAAACTGTATGCGTTCCAAACAAAAAGCACAAAATGTTTATTAATTAAGAACAGAAGAACAATTTTAAATTCTATAGAAATATGTTGTTAAAGTGTTTATTAACATTAGGGCAGACCCAAAACTGTTTAGTACACTTTGGCCTCGCGTTTTAAATAGTATATTTAAACAAAAAAAATATTTATAAAAATTTGTTACTTTGGCAGTGGTTGTCAATTAGTGTATGTAGGCAATTATGAATGTATACTAAAAATCTTATTTTGACCGGCTTGATTTTTTCCCTAGAATTAAGATGAAAAAATTCTAAATAATAACTGCGCACAATCTCTAGTCGTCGATGTGTTTACATTTTTTTGTTGGGGAGGAAAAAATATTGTTTTTATTTTGACATTTGTGCAATCAAAACAAAACACAAAAATAGTAGACTGCTACAAACACCTAAGTTGATTGAAATGTAACGGCGGCGACTGTCACAGAAAACCAACGGCAGCAGTTGGTTATGAAAACAATACAAAAATCGAAAATTTAAGGTAAATGTGGGAAATGTTTTATTTTTTGAATTTTTTTGTTCAAATTTTATAGATTTCGGTCTATAATTGGGATTGGGCTAATCTCTTATACTGCTATTTTATTTAAAAATCAAATTTAAAAGTCGGTGTTGTAGAATATTGGATTTGAAAAGTAGAATTTTTAATAAAAAATTTTTTGAAATTGTAATAAAATAAATTATAAAAGTTGATTTTTTTAGTTAAAAAAACTATAAAAAGTCCTAAATAATACAGGGAGTATAAAAATAGGAAATAAAGTAGAATTTGATTCTTATCAATAACTAAATTATCGAAAATTGACAATTTCGAAAATAAGCTTATTTTAAAATTTACTAATCTTGAATGTTAAAAATATCGAAAAGTTTCAAAATCGGGAATTTAAAAACGTGTAAAAAATGTAATTTGACGTTATTGTGCAATAAACTCCCCGTAAGTTATAAATGAAGAATAATACTATTATTAATAACGACAACTCCAACATTTTAATTTTACACGAAATACAGTATTAGACCTTAATAAATATTAGACCTTAAATAAATATTGAATACTGTAACTTTGGCCCGTGAACAGTGGAAAATATTAAAGTTTTTCATACAAGAGTTCTTCTTTAAACTGATTTATTTTAGTATATACTTTTTTAAAATAATTACACATATTTGTTGTAATAGATAATATTCTTAAAAGTTTAAACAAATTATAGCGCTGGTTAATATCATAAATTTACATTTAAGTCTTAATTATACAATTATAAACTAATGAACTAAAAAAAATCAATTTTACTGAAATGGTGAATGAAGAATAGTTGTCTATTAACAAAACTTAAAATACAAGTAAATTATTTTTTTTTTTTTTTTTGGTACCAGGAGAATTCCATTTACAATTTTCTTTAACAGGACATCTAAACAATATATGTAACTATGTGGAATTCCTTTTAAAATATTGCTCTAAATCTAATGGCCATCGGTAAAATATGGATGTTGCATAGCCTGTTCGGCGCTAATACGTTGATTTGGACGACAAACGAGGAGTTTTTGCAACAAATCACGTCCCTTGGAGTTTAAACGCGGTACAATCTGACTCCAAGAAGTAATAGCGGGAAAATCTACAAAAGAAATAGTTAAATACTTTAAAGATATTATTTTTATATTAAACTTACGCGGTAAAGCAACATAATCAGAGAGATGAGAAACACCGGGCCAAGTGTCCTCGGTGGGTGTACCCAATACTCTAAATATTTTCATTAATTGATCTAAAACATCTGAACCGGGAAACAAAGGCCTACCGGCATCTGCCAATTCGGCAAATATGCAACCAGCCGACCACATATCAATACTAGTGGTATATAATTTTGCTCCAAATAATACATCAGGCGGGCGATACCACAAAGTAACCACTTCAGCCGAGTAACATTTCACCGGTATACCAAAGGCTCTAGCCAAACCTTAAAATAATCAAATATTATTGTTTTTTCTTGGGAAAACTAGAATCTCTTACCAAAATCAGCCAACTTAAGTTCTCCGTTTTTGTTGATCAATAAATTTTGTGGCTTCAAATCCCTATGCAAAACATTACGGCTGTGACAAAAACCCAAACCTCTCAATAGCTGCAGCATAAAACTGCGACAAACTTGCATATCGATTTCGCCATTAAGACTATCAAAATATTTCTTTAAATCCTGATCACAATGCTCGAATACCAGTGTAAGTTTCTTTTCCGAATGCAAAACATCATACAGTCTAACAATGTTTTTATGTTTCAACTCCTGCACAAGGGCAAATTAATTTGTAAAAATGTTATTAGTCATTGTTTTTATCCCTAAAGAATTATTATAAGTGTTCTTACTTTAAGTAGGCATATTTCCCGCAAGGCTGAGGATGGCACACCTTCGTCATCTTCATCTAAACGTACTCGTTTAAGGGCAACTATTTCCATAGTTTCTCGATTACGTCCTTTGAATACAGTACCATAGGTACCTTCGCCGATTTTTTTCCAATTTTTCATATTTTTGCATTATTTTGTTATGTTGTATGCGGTAGTAAATTTATTTTTTGTAAACAGTTGAAAATTTTTTGCACACAACTGCGCCGAGCAAAAATAATGACGGCGGCTGATTGTTAATATTTCGGTGGCAGCTTAAAGGCGTTTAAGTTTTCGTATATGCACTTTTTTATATAAAAACATATTTAAATTAAGAAAATGATTTTTATTAAATTAAAAGAAGTATTAAATAAATTATTCATTAAGGAAAATTATCGATAATTTTTCTATTTAAAATTAAATTTTTAACTTTGAAGGAAATATTTATTTATTTTTATTTAATATTCAGTGGTATAAAGCCACTTTGGCCAAAACAACAATATTTGAAAAAAAATTTTTCTATTTGGAGAAAAATTAAAATTTTTGTAAGTTGCCTGTCTATTTTTATAAAATTTCGATAAATTTTATATTTCTTAAAAATTTTTAAACAATTTTATATTTTTAGAAAATTTCGATAAATTTTCTATTTGTATAAAATTTTTGATCATTTTTTATTTTTAGAAAATTCTGATAAAATTTTTATTTTTATAAAATTTTGGTTAAATCTTTTGTTTAGTGAAATTTTTCTATAAATTTCCTATTTTTTCGATTAGTTTCATTTATGAACTCTCTCTTAAGAGACAAATTTCACGAAATAATCAAAATATCAAAGCAATCCAAAATACCGTTATCGAAATAAATTACATCAAACTTAAAAAAATCTAATTCCACGTAATTTAAAAAAAACTTATATTTTATTTGTTATTTTTTTTTTGTATTACATATTTTTGACATTTAATAGAAAGCAAAAATCCGCGCAATTTCTGGGATTAAAAATTTTGTGGAGTATTTATTTTTTAAAGAGTTTTTCTCTAATTGCACAAAATTTTCTGTGAATTTCATATAATTAAAAAAACTCTTATTTAGTTTAGGCGTTTTTTGGTTATTGTTTTTTGTTATTGTTTTGAGTGGTAAACTTCACTGACACACTGAAATGTCATCTCATAATTGACAATTGAAGAAAAAAGAATTGTTGTGTGTGAGTTGTGTTTTTTTGCAAAGAAAATCTAATCAGATGAAATTTATACAGAAAATAAATAATAAAAATTAATAAAAATACAAGAAATTTATTAAAAAACAATGTTCTTTTTATAAAAAAAAGTATGCACTAAATGAAAACGCTGAAAATTGTATAAAAAAGAAAATAATAAAACCACTAATGACCGCTGTGTTTTGCAGTGCAACGAAGAAAAGAAAAAATAAAAAAAATTCGTTCATTGTATGACGTTTACTCCCCTTTTTCCAAACTTGATTATGAAGTTTAAATTGAGACTCCATTAAGAAATTTGATTTGAGACAGCTTCACTAAATACAAATGAAAGTGCCGTGCTGATAATTGTGTATAAATTTTAAATAGTTTAAAACTACAAAGTAAAAGTTAAGATTTTGTTGCTGCTGTAAGAAATAAAAAAAAAATTAAATTGTTGATTATGTTTATAATAACGATGAGTCAAACAGTGGTCATTTTGGTGTTAATTTTTTTGGTGTCTTGCTGGTTGGATTTTTATCAAATTTATATTTATGTGTAATTGTTTTTTTTTCTTTGTTGCAGATTAATAGCCTTAATTAAAGATTGATAGTGAAATACTTAATTTTATTGTGAACTTGAGTATAGATTACATTTTTTCTATAAGAAGATCTACAAGATGGTGCCTCCTAAGGAGAGCATAGATTTGGAATGTTTTTTGGTAACAAAACATTCCTGGAAAGGAAAATACAAACGTATATTAGCCATAGGCAATGTGGGTATATCAACCTATAATCCTGACAAATTGGATTTAACCAATCGGTGGTCCTATTCTGATATTGTATCAGCAGCACCTACGAAATCCTCAAATGTATGTTGAAATATTAAATAATATCTGCCAGAGTGTCCGGTAGAATAGAATCTTAGTAGGAATAAGTCTTAAATAAAGAGTATTGTGTAAAAAACGGGCAAAAATAAGAACAACCTTTTAAATTTTACCTAAAACGTCAGAAAGTTGCAGACAAACAGACTATTGCTCATGAACTCTTACAAAAAACTGAAGTTTAACTTTTATATTGGTTTTTTCTTTTATTTTCCCGTATTTTGCATATGAAAAAGAAGCTATTTCTATGCCGGACACTAATCTTTATAGTTTTATTAATGTTTACATTACAATTATTTGTTTATTTTTCTATTTCTTTATTTAGATTCCCAATGAATTTGTATTGACTGTTAAAAAAGATAAAAAACTAGATTCAATTAAGCTAAGCTCTGAGTATCGTAATGATATTTTAACTTCAATATTGAAATACTACAAAGAATTTGCTGATAAACCAAAAAATTCTCAAGTTTGTATTATTAATAATTATTATTATAATTAACATTATTATAGTGAACTTATAAACACAATTCATTCATTAAAATGTTTTTTTTTTATGAGTTGGTATTTATTTATAAATCTATAATTTTTTTATTATAATTATTGTCTTTGTTTCTTTTCATTTCACTTTAGCGTTTCTCTGCTTATAAATATCACTGGTCGGGCATTAGTTTACCCACAATGTTGGAAGTAACGCCCTGCTCATTAGATCAATTGGATCCTACAACCAATGAAATATTAGCCAGTTATATGTACAAGGATATTGAAGGCATAATAGGTATTACACTTTTTATGTTTAAGCTGTAAATAGTCCTGAACAATTATTAAAGTTAATTTAAGTTTAATCTGGAAAAATAATTCAAGGTCTTATTGCAGTATCTTTATAAGCCCCCAACTATTAAAAAACAATTTCGTAGTAAAAAATAGGTTATAGAAAAACATTATTTAAAATTTATTAAAATATTTTTAAAGCAAGTTGTTGGTCAAGGTTTATGGTTATTTACTATGTACAACTTAAAATATGTTTTTTGAAATCATATGTTTTATTATGTTACTGCAACAAGATCCTTAATTGTTCATAATTGAACTTTTATTATTGTTTAAAATTATGTATGTATTTGGTAATGGGTTTTTATTAATAGCTAACTAAATTTGGTTTGTGGGTGAGAGTAAATGGTTATAAACAAATTTTATTATAAATTGAGGTTGATTTTTTATAATTCTTCAAATGTAGATGCTTTTGGTAATGGATGCTGTTGTCGTAGGCTTTATTACGAACGGGTATTAATATGAATATACTTTACTTGGCATTGTTAATCCTTTATATGGATGTCTTACTTATTAGCTTGGAAGATATTACTCAAGATTCTATTGAACTTTTCCACTTTACCTATTTCTCAATACTTTACCCTTTTAAAAATATATAATGCTTTTTAGCTTGGAAGTTTTATTCAAGATTCTATTGAATTTTTCTACTTTACCTATTTCTCAATTCTGGAGTTATGGAGTCTGCAACGGACTTTTATTAATAATTAATGATTTACTTACTTCTTGAACAGTTCTAGTTCAGTTCTAGTTTAGTTCTAGTTCTAGTTCAGTTCTAGTTTAGTTCTAGTTCAGTTCTAGTTCAGTTCTAGTTCAGTTCTAGTTCAGTTCTAGTTCAGTTCTAGTTCAGTTTTAGTTCAGTTCGAGTTCAGTTCTAGTTCAGTTCTAGTTTAGTTCTAGTTAAGTTCTAGTTCAGTTCTGGTTCAGTTCCAGTTCAGTTCTTGTTCAGTTCTAATTCAGTCTTAGTTCAGTTAAAGTTCAGTTCTAGTTCAGTTCCAGTTCAGTTCTTGTTCAGTTCTAATTCAGTCTTAGTTCAGTTCTGGTTCAGTTAAAGTTCAGTTCTAGTTCAGTTCTAGTTCAGTTCTAGTTCAGTTCTAGTTCAGTTCTAGTTCAGTTCTAGTTCAGTTCTAGTTCTAGTTCTAGTTCAGTTCTAGTTCAGTTCTAGTTCAGTTCTAGTTCAGTTCTAGTTCAGTTCTAGTTCAGTTCTAGTTCTAGTTCAGTTCTAGTTCAGTTCTAGTTCAGTTCTAGTTCAGTTCTAGTTCAGTTCTAGTTCAGTTCTAGTTCAGTTCTAGTTCAGTTCTAGTTCAGTTCTAGTTCAGTTCTAGTTCAGTTCTAGTTCAGTTCTAGTTCAGTTCTAGTTCAGTTCCAGTTAAGTTCTAGTTCAGTTCCAGTTCAGTTCCAGTTCAGTTCTAGTTCAGTTCTAGTTCAGTTCTAGTTCAGTTCTAGTTCAGTTCTAGTTCAGTTCTAGTTCAGTTCTAGTTCAGTTCTAGTTCAGTTCTAGTTCAGTTCTAGTTCAGTTCTAATTCAATTCTAGTTCAGTTCTAGTTCAGTTCTAGTTCAGTTCTGGTTCAGTTCTAGTTCAGTTCTAGTTCAGTTCTAGTTCAGTTCTAGTTCAGTTCTAGTTCAGTTCTAGTTCAGTTCTAGTTCAGTTCTAGTTCAGTTCTAGTTCAGTTCTAGTTCAGTTCTAGTTCAGTTCTAGTTCAGTTCTAGTTCAGTACTAGTTCAGTTCTAGTTCAGTTCTAGTTCAGTTCTAGTTCAGTTCTAGTTCAGTTCTAGTTCAGTTCTAGTTCAGTTCTAGTTCAGTTCTAGTTCAGTTCTAGTTCAGTTCTAGTTCAGTTCTATTTCAGTTCTAGTTCAGTTCTAGTTCAGTTCTAGTTCAGTTCTAATTCAGTTCTAGTTCAGTTCTAGTTCAGTTTTAGTTCAGTTCTATTTCAGTTCTAGTTCAGTTCTAGTTCAGTTCTAGTTCAGTTCTAGTTCAGTTCTAGTTCAGTTCTAGTTCAGTTCTAGTTCAGTTCTAGTTCAGTTCTAGTTCAGTTCTAGTTCAGTTCTAGTTCAGTTCCAGTTCAGTTCTAGTTCAGTTCTAGTTCAGTTTTAGTACAGTTCTAGTTCAGTTTTAGTTTAGTTCTAATTCAGTTCTAGTTCTTAACACTACTTGTTTCTTCTATATGCCAGATAAACTTTCGACCTAAAATCTCCCAATAATAGTTAACGCTAAAAATACTTGGCGTTAAACATAGTGCTACTGGTAAATACCTTTGTATAGGAAAGGTATAACAAAACATTTTAATATTTTACTCAAAATATTAAGAAGATATCGGCCTCTTTTTCCCCCACAATTGATTGTAGCCATTTCTATTACAGTAAGAATAAAAAACACAATTTGGCTCCTGCATACTAACCGCTGTTATAGTTACCTTAATATGTATGCCTTTACTCTAGCTTTTCTAACCCATTTATTTGACATATGTTTCATCTTACGTTTTCCTTCAAATGTGAATTAAGCAGGGATTTCGGATTATGAAGGCGGCATTGTTATGGCCTATGGTGGCTTTAGTCGACTGCATCTGTTCAAGGCCCTCAATCATCATGAAGTAGTGCAAAATATCGCACAAAAATCAACGCAATTCTTGGGCATAGATATAAAAATCTTGAAATCACAGATAACACTGGAACAATTTGAAAGACAAAGATTTGGTAAATATAGGTAAGTGTTAAGGAAATTAATTTTTTTAAAGTTAAAAATTTGAAATATATTAATACGATGTGATATAGCGGCGATCAATTTCAAACTTCTATGACTGAGTTTACGGTACAAAAACATACACCACGTCATCCGGATCCTGTTAAACGTATACTCTGCTTAACGGAGACTACTCTCTTGGAACGTGATCCTCAGACATATAGTGTTTGTACACTACGACCTCTAACCGATGTTTTTGCATTGATACGTGATAAAGATAATTTGCAAAAGTTTTGTATTGAATATAAGAACGGTATAGTGCGTACATATACAACGAATGATCGTGATTCACTTTTGGCCACTTTATTGGATGCTGTACGTTCGAGTGGCAATCAAGATGTTCATATACGCATTACAAATACTCCACGTGGTAAACGTTATGTTCCACTTAACAGCATTGTTGACGAAGAAACTGAGGCAAATCTTTTGCGTTTAGTTATAAATAATTTTCAAAATCCTGCTAAACGTTATGAAGTTTTGGAGCGTTTTAATGCCAATGTACCGCATAGTGGTTTAAATTATAGTGTAACACAAGATGTAAGTATCTGTTTTCACTATCCTTTCCCTTCTAAAATCAATTTTCTTTCTATAGAAGAAATGGCGTAAACAATTTTCTCTTGTTAATTCATTCTTTCAGAGTCTTTTTGCTGAGAATAAGGAAAAACTTATATTGAGTGCTCTGCAAGCTTTGGCACAAAAAGAGTTGGACAATCCAACAGCCCAGTTAACAAATTTTGAACTAGAAGCCATATTTCATGGCCTAACACGTTTGTTGGCCAGCAAAACTGGGTATGCTGCATTTACCAATCTACCCGGATTTCGAGAGATTATTGGCACAAAAATTGTAGCTGCCTTAAGGCGAAAAGATTTGGCCGTTACTTACTCAGCCATCGATATGATAAATTCTCTAATGCATTCGGTCAATGCTGATCATGATTTAAAGCAAGAACAGTTAAATAAATCGTCCATATTATCATCGAAATCATTTTTGGAAACCTTACTTAATATGTGGACCAATCATGTTAGTCATGGCAGTGGAGCATTGGTTCTATCGGCCATGTTAGATTTCTTAACATTTGCTCTATGTGTGCCTTATTCAGAGACTACGGATGGCAAACAATTTGATATATTATTGGAATTGGTAGCCGAAAGGGGTCGCTATTTATATAAACTCTTTCAGCATCCTTCTTTGGCTATAGTCAAAGGGGCCGGTTTGGTGTTAAGAGCCATTATAGAGGAGGGTGAACAAAAAGTAGCCGAACAAATGCAATCGTTGGCTTTAGATGAGGCGGCTTTATGTAGACATTTACTGGTTGCATTATATACACCCTCAAATGATCCTACTTTAGCCACTCATCGTCAGCTATCTAGACATTTAATAGGTCTATGGATAACGGACAATGTAGAAGCCATGGAACTGTTTAAGCGCATATTTGTAAGTTTGTTGTTCATTGAATTAAAAATTTATTTAAATCTATTTATTTCTTTGAAATTTCAAAGCCTGCCGGCTTATTAATGTTTCTGGAATCGGAAGATACGGTGCCTGAAACTGATGTTGAAGAAGACAAATTAAATTTTAGAGATAATTTAAAATTTGCCATACAACATTCCATTAAAACACGTAAAAATGTGATTGAAAAGCATTTACAGGTGGGTTCCTCTTACAATTTTCTTTTAAATTGTTTGTTCTAAAAGCATATTTAAAATCTTTAGGGCAATTAAGCACTGGGGCATGAATTTAATCGAACAACAAGATCCTGCTGCCCAAGCTTTAAAAAATCGTCCCGTTGTTTTGCGCAATCGACGTCAACGTAAAAAGACTTCTGATGCTATAGTAAATCTACCGTTTTTTCTTTTATAATTTTTCGAAAGATCATAGTATACCTAATTTAATATGGAATCATAAGGTAATTAAAAATAAATTCAATTATATTTTTCATTAAGTAGAGTTGAATTAGAACTGAACTAGAACTGAACTAGAACTGAACTAGAACTGAACTAGAACTGAACTAGAACTGAACTAGAACTGAACTAGAATTGAACTAGAACTGAACTAGAACTGAACTAGAACTGAACTAGAACTGAACTAGAACTGAACTAGAACTGAACTAGAACTGAACTAGAACTGAACTAGAACTGAACTAGAACTGAACTAGAACTGAACTAGAACTGAACTAGAACTGAACTAGAACTGAACTAGAACTGAACTAGAACTGAACTAGAACTGAACTAGAACTGAACTAGAACTGAACTAGAACTGAACTAGAACTGAACTAGAACTGAAACTAGAACTGAACTAGAACTGAACTAGAACTGAACTAGAACTGAACTAGAATGACTAGAACTGAACTAGAACTGAACTAGAACTGAACTAGAACTGAACTAGAACTGAACTAGAACTGAACTGAACGAACTAGAACTGAACTAGAACTGAACTAGAACTGAACTAGAACTGACTAGAACTGAACTAGAACTGAACTAGAACTGACTAGAACTGAACTAGAACTGAACTAGAACTGTGACGACTAGAACTAGACTGAACTAGAACTGAACTAGAAAGAACTGAACTAGAACTGAACTAGAACTGAACTAGAACTGAACTAGACTGAACTAGAACTGAACTAGAACTGAACTAGAACTGAACTAGAACTGAACTAGAACTGAACTAGAACTGAACTAGAACTGAACTAGAACTGAACTAGAACTGAACTAGAACTGAACTAGAACTGAACTAGACCTGAACTAGAACTGAACTAGAACTGAACTAGAACTGAACTAGAACTGAACTAGAACTGAACTGGAACTGGACTAGAACTGAACTAGAACTGAAATAGAACTGAACTAGATAATGTTTTTGAAATTACTTTCTATTTCCTTTAAGACTCGTGAGGAATTGCGCATTTGCTTGGAAAACGAATTACGTCAATTTATAAATGATCGTGATTTGGCGGGCAATATGATAGTTGCTTGGAATTATCAAGAATTTGAAGTAACATATCAGGTAAATTAAATTATTTTTACATTTATAAAGAAATCATAAATTAATCTTATTAATACAACTAGTGTTTGGCCGATGAAATTCAAATAGGCGACTATTATATACGTTTAATATTGGAGAAGGATGACTGGCCTCAGAATCTAGTAAAGGATCCGTAAGTTTTATTAAGTTCTTTCTATAAAAAATCTAACTTTTAAAAATGTTATAATATTTTAATCATAGCATTGAACTGTTTAATGCTTTATATCGTCGAGTACTGTGTCGTCAACGTGTCAATGATGATCAATTGACGGTAACATCTTTACAGGCCTTGGCAAAAGTCTATAAACGTTATCACAAGGAGATTGGACAATTTGGTGATATGTCTTATATCTTGCAGTTGAGTGATAGAGTAAGTTTGGAAAATGTTTAAATATATAAAAGTTGTAATATCGGATTATATTATTTTCTTTTAGTGTTTCTCCCCCTCCTTAAGAGATGCTCTAATTAATCTTATATCCTGTTTAGTATTGGAAAAATCCAATTGCCGGCCTTTAGTAGATCATGTACAATGTTTAGTGGATCTCATAACATTGGCCCATTTGCATCAGGGTCGTGCTCAGCCAAATACCAAAACTTATGTTATTGAGGCCGGTCCCAATATGCAACAATATGAGGAAAAAGATTGGTATTATAATATAGAAAAAGAAGGACAAAAGCCAGAACGTCAAGGACCTATAACTTATTCGGAATTAAAGGAATTATGGTCTAAAGGTGTTATTACACCCAAAACCAGATGTTGGGCTATTGGCATGGATGGCTGGCGTTCTCTGCAACAAATACCACAACTTAAATGGTGCCTTATAGCCAAGGGCCAACCGTTATACAATGAAACGGAGCTATCCTCCATGATCTTAGATATTCTCATCAAATGCACCAGTTTCTTTCCATCACGCACTCAAAACGGTCAAGCTGTTCTTATACCTGGTCCCAAATTATCGCGAAAACTTTCTGAATTTATTTGTTTGCCACACATTGTTCAAGTGTGCTTGACCCATGATCCCGGTTTGTTGGAACGAGTAGCCACACTATTGTGTCAAATTATGCAGGACAATCCGGAAATGCCTAAAGTCTATTTGACGGGCGTTTTCTATTTCATGCTCATGTATAGCGGTAGCAATATTTTACCCATTACAAAATTCCTTAAAATGACTCACATGAAACAAGGTTTCCGCAGTGAAGAATCATCACAATCCGGCATAATGCATCGTAGTATTTTGGGTCAATTGCTGCCCGAAGCTATGGTTTGCTTTTTGGAAAATTATAGTGCTGAGAAATTTGCCGAAATCTTTTTGGGTGAATTCGATACGCCCGAGGTAATATGGAGTTCGGAAATGCGAAGACTGCTGATAGAGAAGATTGCAGCACATATTGCAGATTTTACACCGCGCCTAAGAGGTCATACAATGGCCAGGTAAGTGCAGTATTAAAATTTAAGAAAACTTTACTTATCTTATGGGCTGAAGAAAGATCTTTGAGATCAATTTTTTTTTGAAAAATCACTTTTACACCAAGAAATCACTTTTTCGCTGAAAAATTACATTCACTGAAAATTCACTTTTCACTAAAATTTCGCATTTCACTAAAAATTCACTTTTCACTAAAAATACAAATTTCATTGAAAATTCACTTTTCACTGAAAATTAAATTTGAAAAATCACTTTCACAAAAAATTTACTATTCACTGAAGAATCACTTTCAGTGAAATCACTGTTTCGCCGAAATTTTAAGTTTTTTTAATTAGAAAATAACTTTTTTACCGAAACTCCGCTAAAAAAACACTTTTCACTGAAAATTCACTTTTCACTGAAAATAATTTTTCACTAAAAATTCACTTTTAACTTAAAAGTCACTTTTCATTGAAAATTCACCTTTCATTGAAAATTTAATTTTCACTAAAAAATCACTTTCACTGAAAAATCGTTTTTTACTGAAAATTCACTTTTCACCAAAAAATCACTCCACAAAAAAAAAATAACTCTCACCGAATAATTACTTTTCACATTTTCACCGAAATGTCGCTATTTCACTAAAAATCACATTTTCACTGAAAATTCACATTTTACCTAAAATTCACATTTCAAATAAAATTCGCATTTTCACCGAAAATTCACATTTCGGCTTAAGTTCACATTTCACCTAAAATTCACATTTCACCTAAAGTTTACATTTCACCTAAAATTCACATTTCACCTAAAATTCACTTATTCACCGAAAATTCACATTTCACTGAAAATTCACAAATTCGAAGACATTCACCTAAAATTCACATTTCACCTAAAATTTATTCACCGAAAATTCTCATTTTCATCGAAAATTCACATTTTCACCGAAAATTCACATTTTCACCGAAAATTCACATTTTTACCGAAAATTCACATTTTCACCGAAAATTCACATTTTCTCCGAAAATTCACATTTTCACCGAAAATTCGCATTTTCACCGAAAATTCACATTTCACCGAAAATTCGCATTTTCACCGAAAATTCACATTTCACCGAAAATTCACATTTCACTGAAAATTCACTTTTTCACCAAAAATTTACTCTTCCAATTAAAATTCGCATTTCGAAAATTCATTAAAAATTCACTTAATATCGAAAATTAAAAATTTTAGAGAAATTTACAATTTCAATTAAAATTCTCGAAAATTCACTGTTTCACATAGATCTCTTTCTACATTTTAATATTTAACTTTCCGTTACAATTTCAGATATCCCTATCTTGCCATACCAGCTATAAGCTATCCTCAATTGGAAAATGAACTATTCTGCCATATTTATTACTTGAGACATCTCTGTGATACTCAAAAATTCCCCAATTGGCCCATTTCGGATCCTGTACAGCTACTGAAACACACTTTAGATGCCTGGCGTAAGGAAGTCGAAAAGAAACCCCCACAAATGACCGTCCAACAAGCCTACAATGATTTAGGCATCGATTTGAACAAACATCCCAAACCCGATGAATCGATGATACGTAAAAGTTATTATCGTTTAGCGCAAATGTATCATCCGGATAAAAATCCCAATGGTCGTGAAATTTTCGAAAAAGTTAATCAAGCTTATGAGTTTCTATGCTCGCGTAATGTATGGAGTTCGGGAGGACCAGATCCCAATAATATTGTCTTAATATTGAGAACACAAAGTATTTTATTTGAACGTTATGCGGATGGTAAGTTATTTTTGGAATAACCTTTAATATGATTCACAATTTGTTTGTTTTGTTTTACTTTAAGTATTGCGTCCTTATAAATATGCTGGTTATCCTCAGCTAATCAAAACCATACGTTTGGAGACCAAGGATGATGATTTATTCTCCAAAGAAACACAATTGCTTACTGCAGCTTCCGAGCTTTGCTATCACACCGTACACTGTTCCGCCTTAAATGCCGAAGAGTTGAGACGAGAAGAAGGTATTGAAGCCTTGTTGGAAGCTTATGATAGATGTGTATCAATTATGGGCGCTGACTCTAAACCCGATTCCTTACACTATCAAGTTATTTCCAATGTAACACGTTGTTTTGAAGTTGCCTGCAATTTCGAGAAATGTAAACAGAAAATTATCACTCTACCACGTCTCATGTCCGATGTGTGTCGTGTGGTCTATTTCAAACATACGCTATCCGTTAGTTTGGTAACAAGTTTGGCAGCAAATAATTATGAATTACAGTGTAATTTAATTTGCAACGGAGTACTCTGGTCCCTTATGCTATTCTGTTTTGAATATGATTATACTCTGGATGAAAGTGGTGTGGAGGCTAGTGACAAAACGAATCAACAGCAACAAGCTAATACCTTAGCTAAAATGGCCATACTTGCCTGTATATCTTTAGCCGGTTATGGTCTTGAAGTACGTACAACTCCGGAAGCAAAGTCTGTTACCTCTTCGGAAAACAATTCACCCACAGCCAGCGCCGCCGCTACAAGCATAAAAGCGCCCTCTATACCACCTAAACCCAAAACGGCATACACGCAAAATGCACAAAATCCTTTAAATAAACAGCTAGCCATAACATCGGGCCAGGAAGGTAATACCGCTAATGTGGTTAGTAAACAAGATTCAACAGCCAGTGAGAAATCTGAAGCCGGTACACCCGAACAAAATGCCAAGGCTTTGGATTTATTGCGTCAAAAGTATGTGGTAACCTCCGATGCACAGAATACAGTGGTTAAACAAGTGCTGGATCGCTTGCTTACCAAATATATTGCAAATAAATTAACAAAAGAAAAGGATAGTGAGGTAAGTGTTGGTGGGTTTTCTTTTTAAAATTTAGAAGATTCACCATTTCACCTAAAAAACTTTTTTTAAAATATTGAAATATCGGTTTTCATCAACATATTTCTTGGAAGATTAATAGAAAAATCACGTTTTCACCAAAAAAAAAAAATCAGCACGTAACACTTTTTAACCAAAAATTCCTTTCTACCAAAAAGGAAATAAAGAATCACTTAATTTTTTACCGAAGAATCACCATTTCGCCGAAAATTCTCTTTTTCACATAAAATTCACTATTTCACCAAAAAATACTGTTTTTCGATAGAATTTCCTTTTTCACCGAAAAATCACTTTTTCACCAAAAAGTGATTTCTTTTTCACTGAACATCACTTTCCAAAAAATGCCAAATATTGTTCAAAATTAAATTTTTACTGCCATTTATTGAAAAATTACGAAATTGTGTTTATTTTATGAGCCTTATTTTAAACTTCGAAAATTTGAACTTAATTTCGAAATTCGTAAAAATGTCTAAAAATCTATAAAACTTAATTTTATTGAATAAAGTATTACTAAAATGTATATTTTCTTCATTTTAAGAAAATTTTGGATGTTCGAAAATTCGAACTTAATTTCGAAATTTTCTAAAATGGCAAAAATTCTATTAAAATTAAATTTTTACATCATTTATTGAGAAATTTTAGAAAAATTACGAAATTGTCTTTATTTTATGAGCTTAATTTTTAACTTCGAAAATTCGAACTTAATTTCGAAATTCGTAAAAATGTTTAAAAATCTATAAAACTTAATTTTATTGAATAAAGTATTACTAAAATGTATCTTTTCTTCATTTTAAGCAAAATTTTGGATGTTCGAAAATTCGAACTTAATTTCGAAATTTTCTAAAATGGCAAAAATTCTATTAAAATTAAATTTTTACGTCATTTATTGAGAAATTTTAGAAAAATTACGAAATTGTCTTTATTTTTTGAGCCTCATTTTAAACTTCGAAAATTCGAACTTAATTTCGAAATTCGTAAAAATGTCTAAAAATCTATAAAACTTAATTTTATTGAATAAAGTATTACTAAAATGTATCTTTTCTTCATTTTAAGCAAAATTTTGGATGTTCGAAAATTCGAACTTAATTTCGAAATTTTCTAAAATGGCAAAAATTCTATTAAAATTAAATTTTTAAGTCATTTATTGAGAAATTTTAGAAAAATTATGAAATTGTCTTTATTTCATGAGCCTAATTTTAAACTTCGAATATTCAAACATAATTTCGAAATTCGCAAAAATGTCTAAAAATCTATAAAACCTTATTTTATTAAATAAAGTATTACTAAAATTTATTTTTTCTTTATTTTGAGTAAAATTTTGGATGTTCGAAAATTCGAACTTAATTTCGAAATTTTCTAAAATGGTAAAAATTGTATTAAAATTAAATTTTTACGACATTTATTGAGAAATTTTAGAAAAATTACGAAATTGTCTTTATTTTATGAGCTTAATTTTTAACTTCGAAAATTCGAACTTAATTTCGAAATTCGTAAAAATGTCTAAAAATCTATAAAACCTTATTCTATTAAATAAAGTATTACTAAAATGTATTTTTTCTTTATTTTGAGTAAAATTTTGGATATTCGAACATTCGAACTTAATTTCGAAATTTCTTAAATTGGCAAAAATTCTGTTAAAAGATTTCTAAAATTTAATTTTAATAAATAAAATATAGCTAAAATGTATTTTTTCTTTATTTTGAGTAAAATTTTGGATGTTCGAAAATTCAAAATCAACTAGTATTAACGTATTGCTATAATACACAATTTTTTCTACGTTTTTGGTATAATTCTTCAACTTCGAAAATTCGAACTTAATTTCGAAATTTCCGAAAAAATCTAAAAACTTAATATGAAGTCTTTTATCAATTTATTAAAAAAACTCATCTAAAATCAAAAATATTCTTAATGTTTAAAGTGTTCGAAAATTCGAACACAATTTCGAAATATCAAAAAAAAAAAATGCAAAAATTCGAATTTCGGAAACTCTTTAACTTGTATATCAAATTTTACTAACTTGAATATTTTCAGATATTAAAAATACTCACCTCCAATACACGTAATCCCTATTTAATATGGGATAATGGTACTAGAGCTCAATTATTAGATTTCCTAGAACAGCAACGTTCGTCAGCGGTTAAGGAAACCTTTGAAGATATAGCAGAGATTCACGAATTGGTAGCACAATTTGAATTCGATGCACACAAGTAAGTTTTCAATTAAATTGCAACATAATATCATCATAGCTTTAACTATAAAACTTAACTCCCATAGAGATGAATTACAAATTGGTGGCGTGTTTATACGAATCTACAACGATATGCCCACATTTCCTATAGTTAATCCTAAGCAATTTACATTAGATTTATTGGAATACCTTAAGCAAGCCTATCACTATTTGAAAAAGGTTAAAAATTCAAATACTATAGCGTATTCAGAACCAGTTTCTCCCACGCTTAGTGGTTCGGGTGATGGCATCCTTAAGCCCACATTAGCACCTAATCATCCGCAATTGAAACAGCATAAGACAGGTAATACTTTCGATGAAGTTCTTAATGCCTATAATCGTTCCAAAAGCCGCAAAAAATTGGAAACTGAGGCTATGATGGAGCAGCAACAAATACAAAGTCAATATAAATATGATTTTGCCAATGATACTCAAGTAGAACAGCATATAATAATGGTGCTTAAGGCTTTGATAGCTGTTATTAAGGCTAATCATGAGGTAGAAATCCAATGTATAGGAAATTTCGATATGATTTTTGGATTTTTGGCTCATAATTTGTTTGCTGAGGTAAGTGGGTGGCGGCAGAACAGGGAATGTTTAATATTTTCTTTAAATTACAGAATACTACCATTAAAACTGTGGCATTGGAAGTGGTGGCCTTGGTATCACGCAATAAGGATTGTGTTACAGAAATTGCTGCCTGCGAGGTGTTGGGCAATTTCCTGGTCGCACTTAAAGATCCTGACCTTAGAGCTAGCCAGCAGAAAGTTTTGGAAACCATGTCTGGTCTTATGAATGTACAGGAAATGATTAAGGAAGCACAAATGAAAGGTGCTGTTATATATTTGCTGGACATGTTTTGCAATTCCCGTAATCCACTGTTAAGAGAAATGTGTGCTGAAATAATGGCCAAAATGACTGCTGATCGTTTGAGTGGTCCTAAGGTTTCATAAGAGAATTTCTTAAAATTTACATTATTATAACTTAATGATATCTTTTCATAGGTGCGCATAACAATTTCCAAATTTTTGCCCGCACTATTTGTGGATGCCATGATCGAATCACCACAAACTTCGGTACAACTTTTCGAGTCTATACATGAACATCCCGAATTAATATGGAATGATAAAACACGCAATACGGTTTGTGATGCTGTTAATGATACGTGTCAAAGGTTCGTGTTGATTTGTTTGAATTAAATTATAAATAATTTATATTTTGGTTTTTATAATGATATTCATAGTTTCTATCGCGCACAAAAACTGAACTCTAGACACTTGTGGAAGGATCCTGAAATCCTTAAAGATATCGTTTCAAATGAGGTGGTTGTAGCTGGTGTTTATTTGCGTCTATTTGTAGCAAATCCTGCCTGGACTTTACGCAAACCCAAGCAGTTCTTATCAGATCTCCTAGATTTCGTGGTCGAGCAAATAAGTAAAAGTTCTTCGGAGGTAATTTAATTATAATATGTTCTTACATCTTTGTGAAAATCATCTCCTGATAGATACATAGATAGATAGACAGATAGACAGATAGATAGATAGATAGATAGATAGATAGATAGATAGATAGATAGATAGATAGATAGATAGATAGATAGATAGATAGATAGATAGATAGATAGATAGATAGATAGATAGATAGATAGATAGATAGATAGATAGATAGATAGATAGATAGATAGATAGATAGATAGATAGATAGATAGATAGATAGATAGATAGATAGATAGATAGATAGATAGATAGATAGATAGATAGATAGATAGATAGATAGATAGATAGATAGATAGATAGATAGATAGATAGATAGATAGATAGATAGATAGATAGATAGATAGATAGATAGATAGATAGATAGATAGATAGATAGATAGATAGATAGATAGATAGATAGATAGATAGATAGATAGATAGATAGATAGATAGATAGATAGATAGATAGATAGATAGATAGATAGATAGATAGATAGATAGATAGATAGATAGATAGATAGATAGATAGATAGATAGATAGATAGATAGATAGATAGATAGATAGATAGATAGATAGATAGATAGATAGATAGATAGATAGATAGATAGATAGATAGATAGATAGATAGATAGATAGATAGATAAGATAGATAGTAGGTAGGTAGGTAGGTAGATAGATAGCTAGATAGATAGATAGATAGATAGATAGATAGATAGATAGATAGATAGATAGATAGATAGATAGATAGATAGATAGATAGATAGATAGATAGATAGATAGATAGATAGATAGATAGATAGATAGATAGATAGATAGATAGATAGATAGATAGATAGATAGATAGATAGATAGATATATAGATAGTGATTCCTTGTAGTCGAATAAAATATCTTACTTATTTTTATTTCAATTACAGAAAGATGTTTTAGATTTGTCTACCAATGCTTTAGTAGAACTTTTACGTTCACAACCTAATTTGGCCGATGATATTCCTGTCTTGGGTCATATACCCAAACTGTTTAACTTGCTGACCGTACAACCAAAGAATACATTATCAGTATTACATCAACTATCGCTATCAGAGGTAAATGGAAAAAAAGTTCAAAAAAGTATGGATATTATTTCTAATTCAAAATTATTGCAGTTTTGTGTCAGCGCTGTTTCTCAAACGGAATGTATAATGCCTTTAAAGAAATGCATGGAACATAATAGAGATTGTATAGAGAAATCCTGTGAGACGTTAAGTCGTTTATTTAAATATCAGCATGTAAGTTAAGGTGCATTATTAAAAAAATTTGATACTTATTTGTTTATTTTTAAATATTATAGGATTCCTTAATTAGTCAATCATTGGAAGTTGGTCTTATACCTTTTCTTTTGGGTTTACTAGATAGTCGTTTGGATTATGTAGACAATGCATCAGCTGTAAAAGCACAAATTGTGGCGGCGCTCAAAGGCATGACTCATAATCTTAACTATGGTGATCGTGTCACACAAATTTTACTCAAACATCCAGTATGGGCTGAGTTTAAGGATCAACGGCATGATCTATTTATAACCGATACAAATATAAGAGGATATCTAACGGGTAATAGAATTATGAAAATTTTCCATTTCATTCCTTTGAAATTGTTTATTTTCTTTTTTTTTTTTTAAGGTATCAATCCTACTGCAGGCTACCTCACTCAAGGGCCAGCACAAAATGTTGAAGTGCTGACCTCACCACCACCTATCGATCGTGATGATCCCTCTGCTAGACCACCAGAGGATTAATATTTGCCTACAACAAATATTTTCTAATATATGAATTTTTGTTTTGTTCTTTCATTATTCTAGTATTTTTTATAAATACCCATTTACATATATGATTTTCAAATGTATATTTATACAATGTAAGAAGTTAAGCAGATTAGAAAAAAAAATCATGTTTTTATCTCTTCTTTTCCAAGTTGTAGGATTAAATGAAAACATAAAACAACAACTTAAGTAAAAGTATTTTATACAATATAAAAGAAAAATATCTAAAAAAAATTATTATAATTTATAAAAAATATATATCTTTATTTTGAAATATTTATATACATACATATATAATTTTTTTTAAATTAATATTTTGCAAATACTATAATTAAACGTATTAAATTAATTTCAAATTGAACACACACACACATACATATTTACTTGTATTATAATATAATTATAATTTCTACATAAAACACTTACAAATTATAAACATACATTCACAATTTACGAAAAAGTGATGAAATAAAATTTAAATAAAAACACATTAAATGTATTTTCGAAAAAAGTGCGAAATTTTGTAAATCAATTTCAATTAACTCATTACTATTGATAAAACCAAACGCATATAGTCGATACATGAAGCCAGTGCTGCAGCTATATAACGCCATCTTTCCATATATAAGTTGAGGAATTCAACATACTTAGCATTTTCTATACGGAATTTAAAAAGTTGTGTTAAGTAGTGTATGATATCCAAATTTCTGGGATAATTTATGCCCAAAGCGCTAGAGATTGGAAACAAAAGGATGTGTTTAAGATAGATAGATAGACGGATAGATATACAGATTATACCTTTCTACTAAATACTGTACAATAGCATAATAACCCAACATTATAAGAACCGGAACTAAAACAGGCATCAACATTAGTATGATTAGAATACAGGAATAAGCTAATTTGAAGATAGTGGGAAAGGGTAAAGGTTGCAACCATGTATACATTAAATGCAGCGCGAAAGGTTGTAAATAATAAATAGTTTTATTTAATAAAGTCATACGTTTCCACTTAAAATAAAAAAACAATTATTAATATTTATATTTTAATTGTTTGCAATTTCCGCTGTCATTTATAACAAAATTACCACTTTTCTTGTATGTAAAGGTTTATGCCAAATTTTGTGCATTGTTAATTTCAATAAAACAAACAATTTTATAATAAATTAACGAAATAAACGCTAATTAACACTTTGAATTTAAATTTGAAAATAATAACGTTTCATTTAAGTGTTGTCAAGTTATACAAACAAGAAAATGACAACTCCGTTTTTAACTTTAACTAGTGTTGGTAAACGCTGAAAAATACTTGAATTACAGTTTAATTTAAACCTTGAAGTATAATGTTATACTTTGTTTCCACTGGCTTGAAATCTACTAGATTTGCCTAAACCTCTTCAAGGTGTCTCCACTGAGCTTACTCGTTTTCGATATTCGAATTTTCGAACAAATCCCGTCATTTTGTTTTGATATAACGACAGTAATGTTAATTTCTTTCAATTTAAACATTAAAAATACAAAATTACAACTGTAAAAGTATAAATTTGTTTATTAAATGCCACTAATTTTAAAATTAAAATTTGTTTTGTTTTTATTTCGAAATGAAAAGTCACTTTATCGATGAAAACATTCAACTTGTAACTGTATGGCAAATCTACATGATTTCAACTAGTTTTGTCCAAATACACTAGATTTGCTCAAAACGCCTCAGTGGAAACATAGCATAAACGTAGTTGAAAACTTAGCCGGCTTACAGCCAATTTTAAGCCGCCGCCGACTTATTTAGTGTCAGTCGCCGCCGCCGTTAATATTTGTCGGCGCAGAGCTCTGGTGTGAATTGTTTGGCAGGTTGTAAAAAAGTGAAAATTTTGCTAAAAATATTAAATTAAAATAAATTAAAATGATATAAATGTTTTAATTAAAGAAATAAAGTTAAAAAATAACTTAAGCTTATTATTAAAAAGCTTGGTTAACCCAATAAACCTTTTTATTTATACAAGTTTCTCTTTTTGCGAATTTACAACCGGCTTTTTTGAAAATATTTTGCTGGTCTGTCCAATTGTTAATATTTTGTGCAAGATTTTTCACATTACAGAACCATGGATGTGCAAATATTAGACTGTGTTAATAACTATTTGGTGGGTAAAAGCAAATAAATGTGAAATTATACAATTCCCTAATGTTTATGTTGTATTTATGCAGAAAGTGGAGCCCATTGAAGAGGCCTTTCTCAGTGTGATTGTCTATCGGCCAGAGGGCGAACAAGATAAAGCCTCTAAGTTCTCCAATGATATTGGTAATGTTGACTGCAAGTTATTTATAGTTTATTTTACTAAAATTGTATTTTTTTTGTAGTTACGGCTTTTGGCTCCATTCCTCAAGACAGTAAAGAGGGTATTGTGCGTCAGTATTTGGAGAAGGCAGCCTCTGCCACTAACACCAATCAGTTAAAAGTGTTGATGGGTACATTGGGCAAATTGGCAGAATCTCATTTGATTACAGCAAAGTAAGTACCTATTTTGCGAAAAATATTTGTGTTTGGGAAACGGAATGTCGCTTCAAAGCAACAAGCAAAACTTTTCGCAGTCTCCAGTATAGCAGACGGCGCAGAGTTAAAAATGTTCAATATCCAACGAATGTTTGAATCATATTTGGAAGAATAAAAGGATAATATATCATAGACAACACGTTATGTTTGATGGAACACCACATAAACGTTTAATAGAAGATACTACCAACACACTGTACTGTGAGGTCTCTAGAATTGAAATTTTAATGAACACATTATCTTTCGTTAAAAACTTCCGGTTGATAAAGCTGCCGCTAAATAGTCAATGATCGAGGATCAAGTTCTAGACGAAGATCAAAATCTTGAGTACCTCAATGGGTCTATTTTAATTTGTAATCGATTGACCTATATGTAGTTAAAACTTGTTGGAGAACGTTATTTATATCTTGTTCTATCTTCTCTTTTAGATTACTCTGCGACAAGATACTCTTGTGTGAAAAGTTAAATTATGAAAACAAGAACTTTTGGATAGAAAGTTTTAGACTAATTAAAAAAGTTATAGATCATGTAGACTACAAAGGCGTAAGAGAAATAATGAAAGCATGTCGTGATAAGGCTCAACGATTTCCTCTCAATGTAAATGTCACTTATTTACCACAATTACTGGCACTAGAAGATACCATACGTTATATATTCGATCGTAATAATTGCCTTTTACCAGCCTATTTCATAGCTAATGAAATAATCAAACCCTTTCCCTATCATTGGGTAAGTTAAGAGAAAATATCTTAAAACGTATAAGAATTTAAAATGGTTTTACTATTTCCTTAACAGAAACTTAATAAATTAATGACCGATGTTGTTGAAGAATTTCGTCAAACTGCCCAAATGGTCTCGATTATTGGTCACACCCATATGCTGCCGATTGTTGAACATTTCGGTTATGCTGATCATATGATGAACTCTTGGAAACTAGATCCTAATACTTTAAAATTTAATTTTAAAGGTAGTCTACCCTACGAACCAGAATTAATGGAAGAACAACCACAATTGTTGCGTTATGTTTTGGAACAAACCTATTCTAAGGAAATGATTTCGACGATGTTAAATCTACAAAAACATCAGAAACAAAGGTGTAATACCTTAGAAGATCAATTGGTTAATTTGATCATAAATGCTATGGAAATGACCGAATCAAATGAAAATATTGCTGGCAGTAGTTTCAATGTTCCCGAGGAGCAAATACCACAAAACGAATGGATATGGTTGCATTTATCTTCACAATTGATTTATTTTGTTCTATTTCATTTTGTTAGTTTTACGCATATCGTATTGGCTTTATATGATAAGGTAGAATGGATAGCTTAACTTCACATAATATATTCTATTTATATTTGTCTGTTTTTATTTCAAGCTTTCGAAGAAAGAGTTACGCAAGGGTCGTGATCAACTGATGTGGATTTTATTACAATTTATTTCAGGCAGTATACAAAAGAATCCTGTAAGTTAATTGTTAATACCTTTTTACTTAGAAAATTGCTTACTTTTATTTATTTTTCAGATTGGCAACTTTTTACCCATGTTTAAATTGTTTGATTTACTGTATCCTGAACAAGAACCTTTGCCCCTACCCGACTGCAATAAATCTTGTTCCTTGAGACAAGTAATCTAATAGATTTTTTATGTTATACTATTTTGGCTTATTTTACATATTTTTATGTTCCAGATGGCTCCCATTTGTATATGGATTCATTTAATGAAAAAAACTAGAAATGAGAATATGAACATTACGCGTCCTTTACCTATTGCTTTAAAAAATCATCATGAGTATGTTAATTAGTTTAAAAGACTAGAGAAATTATTGTTTCCCTTTTTTGTTTCAGTTTCCTCCAGCATTTGGTTTTGCCAACCACCATGATGTCCATGAGTTTGAGTAATGATTTTCGCATTGTTTTAGTTTGCAATGCTTATTCTACGAATCAAGAGTTTTTTGCACGACCCATGAATATATTGGTAGAAGCTTTAAATGGCAATGCCAAATCTGCTAATGGTGCTGCTATACAACCTTTACCGTATTCCATGGTAGTTTTAGACAGCTTAACAGTTCATAGCAAAATGTCTCTTATACATGGGTAAGTAGATGATTCTCACAAAAGGATTTAGAACCATTTGAGAAGTCAAATTAGAGTCTATAGTATAGTCTATAGTCTAGTTTACAGTCTAGTCTATAGTCTAGTCTATAGTCTAGTCTATAGTCTAGTCTATATTCTAGTCTATATTCTAGTCAATAGTCTATTCTATAGTCTAGTCTATAGTCTAGTCCATAGTCTAGTCCATAGTCTAGTCCTAGTCTAGTCTATAGTCTAGTCTAGTTAGTTATAGTCTAGTCTATAGTCTAGTCTATAGTCCAGTCTATAGTCTAGTCTATAGTCCAGTCTATAGTCTAGTCTATAGTCTAGTCTATATTCTAGTCAATAGTCTATTCTATAGTCTAGTCTATAGTCTAGTCCATAGTCTAGTCCATAGTCTAGTCTATAGTCTAGTCTATAGTCTAGTTATAGTCTAGTCTATAGTCTAGTCTATAGTCCAGTCTATAGTCTAGTCTATAGTCTAGTCTATAGTAGTCTATAGTCTAGTCTATAGTTTAGTCTATAGTCTAGTCTATAGTCTAGTCTATAATCTAGTCTATAGTCTAGTCTATAGTCTAGTCTATAGTCTAGTCTATAGTCTAGTCTATAGTCTAGTCTATAGTCTAGTCTATAGTCTAGTCTATAGTCTAGTCTATAGTAGTCTATAGTCTAGTCTATAGTCTAGTCTATAGTCTAGTCTATAGTCTAGTCTATAGTCTAGTCATAGTTAGTCTATAGTCTAGTATATAGTTAGTCTATAGTCTAGTCTATAGTCTAGTCTATAGTCTAGTCTATAGTCTAGTCTATAGTAGTCTATAGTCTAGTCTATAGTTAGTCTATAGTATAGTCTATAGTCTAGTCTATAGTCTAGTCTATAGTCAGTCTATAGTTTAGTCTATAGTTAGTCTATAGTCTAGTCTATAGTCTAGTCTATAGTCTAGTCTATAGTCTAGTCTATAGTCTAGTATATAGTCTAGTCTATAGTCTAGTCTATAGTCTAGTCTATAGTCTAGTCTATAGTCTAGTCTATCGTCTAGTCTAGTTTAGTCTATAGTTAGTCTATAGCTAGTCTATAGTAGTCTATAGTTAGTCTATAGTCTAGTCTATAGTCTAGTCTATAGTCTAGTCTATAGTCTAGTCATAGCTAGTCTATAGTCTAGTCTATAGTCTAGTCTATAGTCTAGTCTATAGTCTAGTCTAGTCTAGTCTATAGTCTAGTCTATAGTCTAGTCTCTAGTCTAGTCTATAGTCTAGTCTATAGTCTAGTCTATAGTCTAGTCTATAGTCTAGTCTATAGTCTAGTCTATAGTCTAGTCTAAGTATAGTCTATAGTCTAGTCTATAGTTTAGTCTATAGTCTAGTCTATAGTCTAGTCTATAGTCTAGTCTAGAGTCTAGTCTATAGTCTAGTCTATAGTCTAGTCTATAGTCTAGTCTATAGTCTAGTCTATAGTCTAGTCTATAGTTAGTCTAGTTAGTCTATCGTTAGTCTATGTCTAGTCTATAGTCTAGTCTATAGTCTAGTCTATAGTCTAGTCTATGATTAAGTCTAGTCTAGTCTATAGTCTAGTCTATAGTCTAGTCTATAGTCTAGTCTATAGTCTAGTCTATAGTCTAGTCTATCTAGTCTAGTAGTCTATGTCTAGTCTATAGTCTAGTCTATAGTCTAGTCTATAGTCTAGTCTATAGTCTAGTCTATAGTCTAGTCTTAGTTTAGTATATAGTCTATTCTAGAGTTTAGTCTAGTCTAGTGATAGTCTAGTCTATAGTCTAGTCTATAGTTAGTCTATAGTCTAGTCTATTAGTCTAGTCTATTAGTCTAGTCTATAGTCTAGTCTTAGTCTAGTCTAGTCTATAGTCTAGTCTATAGTCTAGTCTATAGTCTAGTCTATAGTCTAGTCTATAGTCTAGTCTATAGTCTAGTATAGTCTAGTCTATAGTCTAGTCTTAGTCTAGTCTATAGTCTAGTCTATAGTCTAGTCTATAGTCTAGGTCTATAGTCTAGTCTATAGTCTAGTCTATAGTCTAGTCTATAGTCTAGTCTATAGTCTAGTCTATAGTCTAGTCTATAGTCTAGTCTATAGTCTAGTCTATAGTCTAGTCTATAGTCTAGTCTATAGTCTAGTCTATGTCTAGTATAGTCTAGTCTATAGTCTAGTCTATAGTCTAGTCTATAGTCTAGTCTATGTCTAGTCATAGTCTAGTCTATAGTCTAGTCTATAGTTCTAGTCTATAGTCTAGTCTAGAGTCTAGTCTATAGTCTAGTCTATAGTCTAGTCTATAGTCTAGTCTATAGTCTAGTCTATAGTCTAGTCTATAGTCTAGTCTATAGTCTAGTCTATAGTCTAGTCTATAGTCTAGTCTATAGTTCTAGTCTATAGTCTAGTATATAGTCTAGTCTATAGTCTAGTCTATAGTCTAGTCTATAGTCTAGTCTATAGTCTAGTCTATAGTCTAGTCTATAGTCTAGTCTATAGTCTAGTCTATAGTCTAGTCTATAGTCTAGTCTATAGTCTAGTCTATAGTCTAGTCTATAGTCTAGTCTATAGTCTAGTCTATAGTCTAGTCTATAGTCTAGTCTATAGTCTAGTCTATAGTCTAGTCTATAGTCTAGTCTATAGTCTAGTCTATAGTCTAGTCTATAGTCTAGTCTATAGTCTAGTCTATAGTCTAGTCTATAGTCTAGTCTATAGTCTAGTCTATAGTCTAGTCTATAGTCTAGTCTATAGTCTAGTCTATAGTCTAGTCTATAGTCTAGTCTATAGTTTAGTCTATAGTCTAGTCTATAGTCTAGTCTATAGTCTAGTCTATAGTCTAGTATAGTCTAGTCTATAGTCTAGTCTATAGTCTAGTCTATAGTCTAGTCTATAGTCTAGTCTATAGTCTAGTCTATAGTTTAGTCTATAGTTTAGTCTATAGTCTAGTCTATAGTCTAGTCTATAGTCTAGTCTATAGTCTAGTCTATAGTCTAGTCTATAGTCTAGTCTATAGTCTAGTCTAGTGTCTAGTCTATAGTCTAGTCTATAGTCTAGTCTATAGTCTAGTCTATAGTCTAGTCTATAGTCTAGTCTATAGTCTAGTCTATAGTCTAGTCTATAGTTAAGTCTATAGTCTAGTCTATAGTCTAGTCTATAGTCTAGTCTATAGTCTAGTTTATAGTCTAGTCTATAGTCTAGTCTATAGTATAGTCTATAGTCTAGTATATAGTCTAGTCTATAGTCTAGTCTATAGTCTAGTCTAAAGTCTAGTCTATAGTCTAGTCTATAGTCTAGTCTATAGTCTAATCTATTGTCTAGTCTATTGTCTAGTCTATAATCTAGTTTATAATTCATTTTTTAATATTGAAATTGTGTCTCTAGATTTGTTACACAAATGATAAAACAATCCCAATCTAAAAACTCTGTACCCACACCCGCTTTAATAGAGACCTATGCACGTCTTTTGGTATACACCGAAATTGAATCTTTGGGTATCAAGGGATTTTTGTGTAAGTTTTTACTAAAATATTAACAAAATAGTTCTATAGACTTTAAAATCTCTTAAATTTTCCAGTACAATTATTTCCGGCTGTTTTTAAACATCATGCCTGGGGTATACTACACATATTATTGGAAATGTTTTCCTATAAAATGCATCATATACCCACTCATTATAGAATACAATTGCTGTCGCATTTACATTCTTTGGTACATGTGCCGCAGAGCAATAAAATGCAATTGAATTTATGGTAGGTTATTTTTTAAATAAATATATTTTTTTGTAAGTTTAACCATATTGTTTGCTTTAGCTTTGAATCCACCTCTTTACGTTTAATCAATGGCATGGGTTCGGTTGAGTTTCAACCTCAGCTTTCGCGTTACTTCAATGAAAAGCCACCAGCTTCGGTGACTTCTGCAGAAAGTGAAGAACTTAATCGTGTTTTAATTTTAACGTTGGCACGTGCTATGCATGTTACTGGTTCGGGAGAAGAAATGCAGGCCTGGTGTAAAGAATTACTATCGAATATAATGCAAAATACACCACATGCCTGGGCACCACATTCATTGGCCTGTTTTCCGCCTGCTCTTGCAGAATTTTTTGCTCAAAATAATCATCCCATAGAAAATAAGGCGCTATTGAAAAAATCCGTCGAAGAGGAATTTCGCAATTGGTCTTCGATGACCAATGAGAATGATATAATCAATCATTTTATAAAACCCAATACAAGTCCTTTATTCTTGTGTCTGCTATATAAAATGATATGGGAAACTGATAATATAAATCCGGTGGCCTATAAGTAAGTAGATCTGTATAAAACATCTGAATACAAATTGTTAATATTCATATTATTTCTTTAGAATCCTAGAGGGTATTAGTGCTCGTGCTTTGTCCGCTAATTTGCGTAAACTTTGTGATTACTTGATAAGCGAAGTGGTGTCTTCAAATGGCAAAGAATTTATACATAAAAGTGTCGACTCTATTAATAACATGATTTGGAAATATAATGTTGTTACCATAGATCGTGTGGTCTTGTGTTTGGCCCTGCGCACTTTGGAAGGCAGTGAGGCTCAAGTTTGTTTCTTAATCATACAATTGTTATTGTTGAAAACTTCCGAATTAAGAAATCGTGTTACCGAATTTTGCAAAGAAAATAATCCTGATCATTGGAAACAAATTAATAGGTAAGTTGGTAATAGAACCAAAAGGTAGAAATCAAAGTGTAATGAAATTCTAAATAATTTTCATTTTAGTCATGAAAAACATGTGTCTTTCCATCAAAAATATCCCGAGAAATTTGCTCCCGATGAATCTGCCTCACATCCACCACTGCCAGTGTACTTTTCAAATGTTTGTTTAAGATTTTTACCCGTATTGGATGTGGTTATTCATCGTTTTATAGAAATGCCCATACAACATGTTCATCAAATTCTGGAGGTTATATTGGATCATTTAAGTGTTTTATATAAATTTCATGGTAAAAGTTTTAAATTACAAATTTCACATAAATTTTGTTACATTTATTTATTATATTCCAGATCGTCCCATTACTTATCTATACAATACTTTACATTTCTATGAGCGTATTTTAAGGGATCGTCCCTCTTTGAAAAGGAAGTTGGTAAGTTGGAAATTGAATCTTATTTTTAACAAATGTTTAATACTTTTAAACGTCTAGGTTAGCGCTGTGACCGGTTCTTTTTGTGATATACGACCTCCTAACTGGTGTGTTAGTGAGCAATATAAACTGTTTTTACAAAGTCCCGAACTCTTGTGGAATCCAGATTTGTCTTATTATATGAATCTAATAAAACGTTTAGCGGAGAGTAAGTTATGCTAAAATTAATAATATTACTTACTTCATTAATTCGTTTCTCTAATACCTTCAGCCATAAGTGGTAAAAATGTATTCTTTAATACCGACTGGCGTTTTAATGAATTTTCAAATGCTCCGGCTCATGCCATGTATGTCACCTGTGTGGAACTGTTAAGTTTGCCGGTAGCACCTCAAATCGTGGCCAATAATATTATCGATGTTATTGTCAAGGGTTATGCTTTGACACCGCAAAAAGAAATACATTCCTACATAAATGCCGTGGGTATAGTTTTGGCAGAATTGCCAGAGGCCTATTGGAGTGGTATTTATGAAAGATTGCAGGAGGTGTTGAATTTACCGAATATGTTGCGTTGGAATTATCGTTTTAATGCTTTCGAAATGTTTAACTTTAAACTGGTGCGCGAAGCCATGGTGGAGAAAACTTTTGCTGTTGTATTGGCGGTGGCACATTCAATATTCCATCATATGGGCGGTTTTAAATTGGCAACAATGACTAAGTGAGTAGTAATTTAAAAAAAAGCAAAGAAATTTTATTTAAAATCTTATTTTTTTCTGCAATAGATACATTAAGGAAACCTTAAAGCCGCGTGTGGTGACAGAACATCAATTGGTGTTTTTGTGTCATGTATTTGGACCATTTTTACAACGTATCGAACAGGAGAAACCAAATGCTGTTGCGGGCATAGCTATACTACTCTACGAGATGCTGGAAGTGGTTGACAAACAGCATGGCCCCACTCCTTTGGAATATATGGATCCTATATGTGATTTTCTATATCACATTAAGTACATACATGTGGGTAACATAATTAAAAATGAATCGGAGGCTATTATCAAACGTTTAAGGCCAGCTTTACAAATGCGTTTACGTTTCATAAGCCATTTGAATATAGAGGATAAACATATCGAGAAACCCTGCGAGCAGACCACAAGTAACACCACAGCAGCAAATACTGCCATGGGACAACCAACAATGGGTGCCCAGACTATGCAATTTCAGGCCAATACAATGCAACAAAATTTTTCAAATTTACCAAATCAACAACAGCAACAAACACAGCAGCAGTCAATGCAGCAAAATGTTACAAATAATCCTGGACAACAAACACAGTCGGGTAATCAACAACAACAACAACAGCAGCAGCAGCAACAACAACAACAGCAGTCACAAAACCAACCACAACAACAATTAAATCAACAACAACAACAATTGCATCAAATGCAATTACAGCAATTGCATCAGCAACAACTTCAACAACAACAGTTGCAATTGCATATACAGCAACAACAACAAATGCAGCAGCAGCAACAACAAATGTCTCAGCCACCTAATATGGGTGGCGGTATGCGTCATAATTAAGTACATAAAATGTCTTAAATTATATGAAAAATACAATACATCTTATACTTACTAAATAATTACATTTATCATATTTCGTTGCACATTTGCAAGAGTTGCAAAAAGAATAAGAGTAAAAAGTATGAAACAGTTTAAACTTTTAAAAGCGCTGATAGACAATGTTTTGTTATTAACAAACCATGATTCAAATACTTTATTTTCAAAACTAAATACTTTTTTTTAAATAAGAACAAACAAAAAATATGTAATGCTTTGCTAAATTAGTAAATTTTTGCGTATAAAATGTTTAACTTTTAAATAACCGCACAATAATAGTATTAATCTAATAATTTCTTCTTTGATTTGGGTGTTGAAATCGTTTTTAAGGCTACACGCCTAGGTGTTTTATTACCACTTGGCGTTTGTGGTTTTAGAGTATCTTCCGTCTTTTTCTCCACAGTAGTATCTGTTTTATTTTCCAAAATTTCTAAAGGTTTTGGCAATGTGTCCTTAATGGGTGCTTCTTCGTTTGTTTCCTCATAAACCAAACGTATATCTTCGGTACGTTCACAAGTGATTTCACTTACCGTCAAAGGGGTTATGCCAGCTTCTTTGGCGGGTTCCTTCGAGCTAACTTCGGGTTGAGTTTCCTTTGTGGTTTCTGTATTCGTTTCTTTATTTAAAGGCCAAGCATCCATGGCTTCTTCTACCAAAGAGGTCGTGTTAACAACTGATGGCGTTGTTATAATAGCTCGTGGTGTTTTTCTAACCGCTATGGGTTTAGCTTTTTTATCTTGACGTGGTGTATTATTGTTCTCTTTGGGTAAAGATGATATAGGCGATTGACTGCTAAGTTCCTTTTGGTTTTTTAATATATTTGACATAGAAGTGGGTGTTTGTGGCAAACTGCTGGGTGTGCGAGGATGTCTTCTTATCGTTATGGGTGTAGCCGGACGACTCTTCTTTTCGGGAGATTCGAATTTCTCATCTGAGCTTAGGATTTCTTTATCAATAATAATATCAGCAGCTAAAACTTTTGCTATGGCTGCCTTTTTGGGAGTTGTTGTTTCTTCTGTTGGTTTTGTAGTAGTTTCAGTTTTGTCTTCGTTGTCGGTAACTGGACCAGGTTTGCGTTTGATTGCTATAGGTGTGGCCTTTTGTTCGGGTTTTTCTTCATCAACGGGTCCCGGTTTGCGTTTTATAGCTATAGGTTGAGCTTTATTGGTATCCTTCTTGTTGTCTTCAGTAATAGGTCCAGGTTTGCGTTTAATAGCTATGGGATTTGCCTTCTGTTCTAATTTCACTTGTTCTCCATTGGTAGCCGTTTCATTTATAGATTCAGTTTTACGTTTTATAGCTATAGGTTGCGGCTTATTAGATTCCTCCTTGTTATCATTCTCAGTTGTACTGGGTTTTCTTTTGACTGCTATTGGCATTGCTTCCTTAGGCTTTTCATCTTTCTTACATTCCTCAGACTTGCCTGTTAATGATTTCTTCTCTTCTTCTACTACTTTCTCCAATTGAGATTCCTTTGCAGCACTAATATTTTCTCTTGTTGCGGCACTATCATCGGTCGAAGGTTTTCTTGACTTTGTTGAAGTTTCATTATCCTTTTGCTTTTTTGTTTTCTTAGTAACCTGTGCCAATGCAGCTTCCAGCGCTGCCTCAGAGTTTTCATATTCCTCCCCCAGTTCACCCTCTTCAAAAGTAATTAGTGAACAGAAGCCATCTGTACTGGAGACTACAACAATACGACCATCATTCGACCAGGTAATATCGGTCAAACGTGTGTAATGTATATTCGAAATAAGAGCAAATGGTTGTTTTTGTTGGGTATCATAAAAGTATACCGAACTCTTGGTGGCTACTGCAAATATCATACGATAGGGTAAAGGCACAACAGGTGGATTTTTGTCGGCATTAAAAGGACGTAATTTAAACAATAATGGACAACATTTAACCGCTACCGTATACTGATCGGGACATGGTAAAACTATGGCCGGTTGGCGAAAACCATAACGGCTAAAGGCATATGTGGTATTTAAGGGTCTAGTGCAACCATCATAATCTGTAACACCAGCTGGTGTTAGTAACAATTTGCCATCTGGTGTAAAACTTAAACGGCGGAAAAATGTCTGTAGAGTATCATCATGAAACAGACGCATACGTTTGCCATGTAGGTTATTGTCTTCTGGTACGGGTAAAGTACCTTTGCTAACACGATAAAGCACTTTTTTCGATTGTATATCAAATATGCGCAAATACCTGTCGGTACTTAATGTGGCGATATATTGATTTTTAGGATCCCATGCCACACCTTGAACAAAACCTTTGTGATCATTTAAAATTGCCATAGATTTACCTTTCTGAACATCCCATACCATGGCTGAATTGTCAACTGAACCCGATACTAAAAACATCGAATTGGGAGACCAACTTAAATCATATATATCTTCCATATGACCACGCAACACTTTCAAAGTAATCCAAACTTCTTTATCTTGTTCATTTGTAGGATCCAAAATATTCAAAGGTTCACTGTCCGACTTCAGTTTCCATATGAAAACAACACTTTCATCATCACCCGATGCCAACAGCTCACCACTGGGTGACCATTTAACTACATTAACGGCTCTCTGATGCCGTGTTAAATCAGCCGCCAAATCCAATTCTATATCACCATGTTCCCCCGAAGAAGTGGATTTCATATACCAAATTAAAACATGAGCATCAGTACCACCCGATGCTAGACGATAGTAATTATTGCTGGCATTTGTTGTGGGTTGTATATCAACACTAAGTACTGGATCACGATTGTGCCATGATATTTCTGGGATTTTACACTTCATTTTTAGTGTTTTTATAAAATTTCACAATGTATTATTTATATAAAAATTAAAAGAAAAATAACTAACAAAAAATACTTTTGTAAACTATTCAGTGAGTACAGAAAACCGCGCCAAATTTTGACTCTTTATTTTAGCTCAAATGTCAAAACGAAAAACATAAACAAATAAAAACAGGGTTACTGAATTGGGTATGTGAGTACAGAGTTGCTTTTTTTCAATGTCATAAACAGAATAAAGTTAACGGTTCTATTTTTACTGAATTAAATATTTATAAAAAATACCAAATAATAATTAAAAATACATATTTATATATAATTATCCAATTCATAACTGTCTTGTATCGTATCATGTGTATTTTTTATTAGTTTACACTTGTTTAAACATGTTCTTAATTTATATTAAAAAAGCTCGCATAACTTTACGATTGTTTTTCATAACTGAGTGTATTTATTTAGCATTCAGTGTAAGACTATCATTTTCATGTGAATGCCGACTTTTTAAGACGATAAAACAGAAGAAGAATAATTTCATAAAGTAACCATGAATTAAATTTTTAAAAAGTGTTTTAAAGTGAAATAAAATGAAAAATAATTAATATTAATGTTATAAATAATAAAGTTTTTCAAATAAATTGTATATTTATAAATATTGTTGTGAATTGTACAATTTAAATTAATAATCTACATATAAGAGCGTTATGTTAGTGACAGACAAATTCATTGAAATATAAAAAGAGAGAAAACGTTTTTTATGTTTTACCTGTGATATGCAGATTTAAACAGTGACTAATTTGAAAATATATTACTCGAAAAGTTGGTTCCTAAGCGAAAATGCTACTTTTGTCAAGGTAATTTATGTTCTATACTTTTCCATCCTTTTAAATGCATTATTTTACCACGTTCGCGAGATGGGTGTTTATTAGTTTGTCCATTCATAAAAATCAACATTTTGGACCTTATATGATTCATACATTATATATATTTTCTGATTCCTTAATAGATATCGAAGTCGATTTAGTTATCTCCGCTTGTCCGACTATGCAAACGTTCTTTTTTAATTAAGTTTGTTCTTAAATGTCCATGTATATATTTACAAGCTTGTTGAAGTCAATTTTTTGAAGATCCCAGGTTTCTTCTAGATTCAAATCATTAATTCTTCTATCTCATTATGCTTTTAAGAAGTTTTCTATATAAAATCAGGCAAATTGGCATATAAATAAGGGAAATAAAAGCAAAATTCCTAAAGAATCTCTGAAAGTATTTCTTTTTTTTAGTCTAGTCTAGTTCATAGTCAAGTCTAGTTCATAGTCAAGTCTAGTTCATAGTCTAGTCTAGTCTATAATCTAGTCTATAGTCTAGTCCATAGTCTAGTCTATAGTCAAGTCTATTGCATAGTCTATAGTCTAGTCTATAGTCAAGTCTATTGTCTAGTCTATAGTCTAGTCTATAGTCTAGTCTATAGTCTAGTCTATAGTCTAGTCTATAGTCTAGTCTATAGTCTAGTCTATAGTCTAGTCTATAGTCCAGTCTATAGTCTAGTCTATAGTCTAGTCTATAGTCTAGTCTATAGTCAAGTCTATAGTCTAGTCTATAGTCTAGTCTGCTTAGTCTATAGTCTAGCGCACGCAACACCTTCAAAGTAATCCAAACTTCTTTATCTTGTTCATTTGTGGAATCCAAGTCTAGTCTATAGTCAAGTCTATAGTCTAGTCTATAGTCTAGTCTATAGTCTAGTCTATAGTCTAGTCTATAGTCTAGTCTATAGTCTAATCTATAGTCTAGTCTATAGTCTAGTCTATAGTCTAGTCTATAGTCAAGTCTATTGCATAGTCTATAGTCTAGTCTATTGTCTAGTCTATAGTCTAGTCTATAGTCAAGTCTATTGCATGGTCTATAGTCTAGTCTATTGTCTAGTCTATAGTCTAGTCTATAGTCTAGTCTATAGTCTAGTCTATAGTCTAGTCTATAGTCTAGTCTATAGTCTAGTCTATAGTCTAGTCTATAGTCTAGTCTATAGTCTAGTCTATAGTCTAGTCTATAGTCTAGTCTATAGTCTAGTCTATTGTCTAGTCCATAGTCTAGTCTACAGTCTAGTCTACTGCCTAGTTTATAGTCTAGTCTATAGTCTTGTCTATTGTCTAGTCTATAGTCTAGTCTATAGTCTAGTCTTTATAGTCTAGTCTATAGTATAGTCTATAGTCTAGTCTACCATTTTCAATTTTATT